GGTCTGGTGTCTGCTGTGGTCACGGCCGGTAGGAGCGGGAGAGGGGTGGGTGGGGCGGATGGGGGTGGTGTGCACTGCACAAGGGGCCTTCTCTAGGCTGGGGCAAAGCATACCTATGGGGGGCTCCGGTGGGAGGGACTGTGGCCAGGATGTGGGAGGGCAGGAGGGAGGTTCTGCCGAGTGCCGGGGGAGGGGGTGGCTGGAAAACAGATTTCAAGTCATAAAATCAGCTAGGAGCTGGCCGAGGCAGGGAGAGCTCTCTGCTCAGAGAAGGAGCTGGGGTCTTCTTCCACCCTGTCTTCTCCTCCTCCTGACTGCATGGCCTCGGGCAAGTCCTGGCCCTTCTTTGGGCCTCAGTTTCTCATTCTGTAGAATGGGGGTAGTGGGCTAGGTGGTATTGGGGCTCAGCTGGATTGTGAGGGGTAGGGCCTTCGGGTGGGGAAGAGCTCTGGGCCAGGGTGCTGAGAGGGAAGAGTGCCTTCTGCAGGTCCTTGGGGTCACCTCAGCGGCATGTCCTTCTCTGCAGGAGGTAGGATGCAGGAGTTGCGTCTGCTGTGCTGGGTGGTCCTCGTGGGCCTGGTGCAAGCCTGTCCTGAGCCCTGCGACTGTGGGGAGAAGTATGGCTTCCAGATAGCTGACTGTGCCTACCGTGACCTGGAGGCCGTGCCACCTGGCTTCCCTGCCAACGTGACCACGTTGAGCCTATCGGCCAACCGGCTGCCGAGCTTACCAGAGGGCGCCTTCAGGGAGGTGCTCCTGCTGCAGTCGCTGTGGCTGGCACACAACGAGATCCGCACGGTGGCCGCCGGCGCCCTGGCCCCACTGGGCCAACTCAAGAGCCTGGACCTCAGCCACAACCTCATCTCTGACTTTGCCTGGAGCGACCTGCACAACCTCAGCGCCCTCCAGTTGCTCAAGATGGACAGCAACGAGCTGACCTTCATCCCCCGCGACGCCTTCCGCAGCCTTCGTGCCCTGCGCTCCCTGCAGCTCAATCACAACCGCCTGCACACGCTGGTGGAGGGCACCTTCGCACCGCTCACCGCGCTGTCCCACCTGCAGATCAACGATAACCCCTTCGACTGCACCTGCGGCATCGTGTGGTTCAAGACGTGGGCCCTGACCACTGCTGTCTCCATCCCGGAGCAGGATAACATCACCTGCACTTCGCCCCACGTGCTCAAGGGCACACGGCTGAACCGCCTGCTGCCGCTGCCTTGCTCCGCACCCTCGGTTCAGCTCACCTACCAGCCCAGCCAGGATGGTGCCGAGCTGCGGCCTGGCTTCGTGCTGGCGCTCCACTGCGATGTGGACGGGCAGCCGGCCCCCCAGCTTCACTGGCACATCCAGACGCCTGGTGGCACCGTGGAGATCGCCAGCCCCAACGTGGGTGCCGATGGGCGTGCGCTGCCTGGTGCCCTGACAGCCGGCAACCGGCTGCGCTTCCAGGCCTTTGCCAACGGCAGCCTGCTCATCCCTGACTTTGGCAAGCTGGAGGAGGGCACCTACAGCTGTCTGGCCACCAACGAGCTGGGCAGTGCAGAGAGCTCGGTGAATGTGGCACTGGCTACACCGGGCGAGGGTGGTGAGGATGCACTGGGGCGCAGGTTCCATGGCAAAGCGGCTGAGGGTAAGGGCTGCTACACGGTTGACAACGAGGTGCAGCCATCGGGTCCTGAGGACAACGTTGTCATCATCTACCTCAGCCGCACTGGGGGCCCCGAGGCTGCAGCCGCAGGAGAAGGCGTCTCTGGGCGGCAGCCCCTAGGCCTGCTCCTGCTGGGCCAGAGCCTCCTCCTCCTCTTCCTCACTTCCTTCTAACCCTACCCCCACCAGGGCGGGACTGGGGCGGCACAAATCCTCCTCACTCCTCCCCCTAACTTTGAGGCCGTCCCTTATAAGGGGTGTAGGGGCCTGGGGTTGGCAACTGCTGAGGCCTGCATGGAGGGCTTCCCATCCACCTACCTCCCCTTCTCATCCCTTCTGGAACACTCACCACCCCAACTTCTAGACTTGCTCAAAGCTAGTGACTAGGACAGAATTTGATCCCATAACTCACCGTCTACGGTGCTAATTGCTGCTAACCACGTGGCCCGTGCTCCCCTCTCAGGGCCGCATGCTGACTGGGCGATGCCCTAAACACCTGGGGGAATCCTCACTGGTGGAATTCCAGGCACTGGAACTGACAAGCTGGCGAAGGCTTGGGGTCGGGAGTCGGGGCTTGGGGCTCGGTAGGGAGGTACCTGAAGCAGGCAGGGCCCAGGAGAGATGATAGGGTGCAGAGGAAGTGGCTGGTGTGGCTCTGAGGCTCTAGGTGACCTAGCTGAGCTCCTGCTGACCGGCGCTGTTCTCTGACTTGGGGGCTTGAGAGTCTCTGTCCTCATCTCAGATGGGACTGGAGGGAGGATCCAGGATGGCCTTCATCTCCTCTCACCCTTCCTCCCTCAGCCTGTGCTCCTCCATCCTGGACACCTGCCCTGCCTTTCTCTCCAGGTCTGCAGCCACAGCCTGCCCCTCCGGAGAGGCCAGCCAGCCTGGGGGCGGCAGAGAAATAAACAACATTTCTGATGCTCCCCTGTGTCTGCCTGGAGTTTGTCTGGATCTAGGCGTGCCCCCACCCCCACCCCCTACCCCGCCCCGTAGAGGACAGGACCGGAAACCGGAGTCAGGGCAGCCAGCCTGCCTGTCCACGTGTGACGAGGCCTGGGAGGCAGGGAGGGGCGGCCCAGTGGTGGGCTAGGGGCTGGGTTGAGCTTCCAGTGTGCTCCTTGCTCCGCCCCCAACCAGCCCACGGCACAGATGGGAGCAGAGCCTGACAAACTTGCAGAGGCTTCCCTGGGGTCCCTGAGCAGCGCTTTAAGACAGCCGTGGCCTAAGGAGGCCTTCTGGAGCAGGGTGGGGGAAATCAGGTGCCTGGGTTACGGCCCCCCTTCCCAGTCCTGCTCCTGGAAGAGATATTAGGGAGCGGAGAGGAAGGGGGACAGGCAAGGCAAGAGGAGAGGAGAGAAGGGAACAGAGAGGGGACCTAGGACAAGGGAGAGAGGGCAAGAGAAAGACCCAGGGAAAGGGAGAACGAGAGAACACATGTGGGGGAGAAGCCAGAGGAAGTGACTGGCACTCCCCGGCCCTTCCAGGGGGAGGAAACGGTGTTCCGAGGAGCCTTTCCTCACAGGGCAGGGCATCAGGAACTGACTGGGGGGCTGAGGGCCTGGCAGCACCCTGTGTGTTTCTTAGAATGAAGAGCATGTAGACGGGGTCAGAACCTGGAAGACAGTAGAGCCCCATATCTGTGTCAAGTCAGAGAGATATCTCCCTTCTGCCTCCATCCCCACCCCTTTCCAGACCAAAGAGTGCTACACATAAGAACAAGACCCTGTGGAAAAGGCTCGGAAGCCGCTGCCCAGATCCCCCAGAACTGCTGAGCCCAGCAAAGTGGAGGCAGGGAGGCCAAGGAACGTGGGGCAGCAGCTGTGAGTGTTGGAGGTTGGCCAGCCCCCTTCCGCCTCCTCTCGGGTCCACATACGGCGCCTTCCCACCCGCCTCGTCAGCTTGCAAGTCTCACTGAGCTGATGTCACCAGAGCACATGTCAAGGATGACTGCACCTCTGATGGAAAGCAGCAGGATGGAGTCGAGTCCCCTGTGCTGTGCCACCTTGGGTAAGTCACTGCCCATTTCTGGACTTCAGTTTCTTTAGAAAACAAAGGACAGGGTGAGACATGGTAATGCTTAAGGGTCCCATTGACTCTGATTATCTATGGCTTGATAATCCTAACCCTCTTGAACCCCTGATGTCTCTGGCTCCACTCACAGCTGAGCAAGCTTAGCTTCTTGGAGTAGGACGTGGGCCTAAAACCTGAGTCTGGGGTGGCTGGGGAACTAGCTACTCGCCTACTTTAAAGTCATCCGTGGTCCCCCTGCCCTCAGGGTAAAGCCGCAGTTCCCCAGCCAGCCATTCATAGCCCCTCTGACTGGCTCCCCTCTGACAGGCTTTCCCCTCCACCTCTCTTGGAACAGCGAATTAATTGTTCCCTTAACACTCTGCGATGTGTCATCCTCTGTTCCATCATTCTGGACACCCTTTTCCTGTGCTCACTTGGCTAAGTCAGCTTTCAAGACTCAGCTCAGGTACCACCTCCTCCAGAAAGCCTTCCCAGATGCTCTTCTCCTACCCCCCCAAATTGGACTAAACCCCTCCTCTGGCTCACACTGCCCTGGGTGTCCAGTGTCTCAGCCTGATCACACTCTATTATGACTCTGTTTCCTTATTAAAGGCAGAGACCCAGTCTGCCCTTTCATCCTTGTGACCTGTCAATCACTGACACAGGGTTAGGAAAACGTTTTTCAATGGGCTGTAGTGGGATCAACCCCTGCCCTCGTTGCCCTCCTCTCAGGCAGCCCCAAAAGTGGGTCTGAGCTCCCTGGCCTTACCTGGCCTCCTGTCAGTCTGAGGCTGCAGTGGGCATGCGGGAATATTGGGGGTAGGCATTGGTCTCCATTAACTGTGCAGACATTTCTGGAGGCCCCCCTGATCCAGATCTATGGGGTGGCCACAGTTGCCCCACCACATAGCCCCAGCCCCACAGCGGCCCCCACACTTTCACTCACACATGCCCCCCACCTCCACCAGTCCCCAGCAGGGGGAGGGACCCCCTCGGCGGCCCTTCCCTCTGCATACTGATCTGTTCCCACCTCCACATCTTTATTCACATGGCTTCCCCATCTCCTGAAATCTCTCTTCTCCAAATCCAGCCCATTCTCGAGGATCCAGGATAGGTTCAACTTCCAAAGCCAATGCTCACACAGCTCAGGGTTGGCACATAGGTCCCCAGTCTCTCCACCAAAGGCATGCGGCCATGGGTTCCCCTCTGCCCCCCACCCAATGTCCAGCCCAGCACATGACCAAAATGCCCCAACTCCACCCCAGCCCCATAAACAAAGTGTTGATTTACTGAGAGTCCAGGCAGTCTTCCCCATGTACCCCTCCCCCACAGGAGGACTGTTTCTTAGGAACAAGTTTATTACGGGGAACACACTAACCTCTTTCATAACATCTAAAGGCATCCCAACTACAAAAATATCAGGCCCTCAAGTGTGGGCAGCTCAGTGTGGGGCCTGGTTTGAGCTGTGCCTTTGCGGCTGGGTAGAAGCCCGTGGCTTCCCCCTGCAGGCCACGAGACCCCCCGGAGGAGGCGGAAAGCCGCAGGAGGGAGGAAGCGCTGTGTCTGGTCATGGCGGTGAGGTCCAAGGCTGATGGGCAGAGCTGGAATGCTAGGCTGTCCTGGCCTGCATCACCAACTCCGGTCAGGAGAAGGCCTCCGTGAAGCCTGGAGACTGGCGGCAGAGCCAGTGTGAGGAGGGCCCTGGATGTGGTTGCTCCACTTCCACTGGCTCCTGGACCAAGGGCCTAAACCACTCGTTGCTTTCTCCAGAGCCCTCACTGGCTTCCCGAAGTCAGGGCAGCAGACCAGAGCCTCCCAAGGCTCATGGTGCCAACAGACCTCTACTCAATCACAGCGAACCTGGGCCGGCCCTAAACTCCCAGGACCTGCTGGCAGAACTGGTGCCAAGCAGAGAGGCTGCCATGGCTGGGGTGATGATGTTGGCACAGCTGGGAGGGAGTGGGCTGGGAGGAGGGGAAGCACCCCAGCACAAGCAGTGACATGTGGGGTGGGCTTCCCCACCCTCAGGGCTGGGCCCCGTTGGCCCGGGCACCTGATAGGGCTGTCTTCCGGAAGGCCTGCAGGGCTGGGTTGTGCAGCAGCGTGTATGCCAGACCCCAGCGGGCCCTGCCTCTGCGGGCCCTGGGCCCTGCTCCCTTGGCCACTGGGTCCTTGGTCTGCAGCAACTGCATCCCTGAGAAGAGACCCTCTGTAAGTCAGTCAACAAACACCCAGCCAAGCCCTACCCACTTGCACCAAGACAGAGTCTGAAAATCCCGTGCACAGGGTGAGGGAGGCTCATGAGACTGGGGCTCCAGGCACCATCTCACAGAGGGGGAGGCCGGGAGAAGTGTGAGGCTGAAGAGAGGTATTGTAAAGGTTCAGGATGTCATCCTCTGGGTGGCTGACAGAAGAGGGAGAGGATGACCTCTGTGGAGGAGACTGGAAGCAGGGCTGGGACAAGGGTCTGGAGCCAGTTTAGTGTCGCCTTCCCTACTACACACTTTCCGGGCAGGAGAACAGGGAGAGGACATACTGCCTTAGGAGAGGTAGTGGGTAGCGGGGGGTGGTGGAGGTGACAAAGCCCCCTGGCAAGATAGCTGTCTCATTCTCCACATGAGAAGTGTATGGGTGTGTGTATGCATGCACACATGGAATGACAGAGTGTGTGTGTGTTAGTATCATGGAAAAAATCACCCTGAGACGGACCAGGAAAGTGTTCGCTTCCCTTCCCCAGCGGCGGCAGCAGGAGACGGGAAGCGAGTGCAGTCCTGGCCTTCTCTCCCGGTGTGTGTTGCAGATGGGGGTGCGCCTCCTTCCTGGGAGAAGCCAGGCGGGCTCAGTCCCCCCACCCCTAGTGGGAAGGCGCACCTTCCTCTTCCTCTCCCAGCCTGAGGCCATCCTGGGGGGCCGTGCGGGGCCGGGACCTCCGGGCTTGCAGGAGCAGGGCACAGAAGGCTGTCAAGGCTGGGTGTGACTGGCTGACCTCCATCTTCAAGAAGTTGCAGTACGTGTGGTAGCCTGGGTGGGTGGGGACGGCAGCACTATTTGCGGTGGGGGGCCCAGATGGCCCCTAACACAGACACCAGGGGTGCCCTGCATGCCCTGCATGCAAGCACATGGCCCCCTGCACACACCCACGGCTCAGGGTTACAGGCGTCCTCCAGGGAGACGAGGCCTGGGCAGACCCTCCCAGACTGTCTGGGAAGCCTAAGCACCGCCACCTCTAGCCCCTGCCCTGTGACCTTACCGGGGTCGAGAGAGGCAGCTCTAGGTGGCAGCAGGCTGAGGTCCATTTGGCCAAGGTGGACGGCGTTGTAGAGGGCGGAGAGGAGCACTCGCCAGCCAGCCACCATGGCGCCCACCAGCACGTTGATGGGGAAGAGAAGGAAGGTGGCTGCACAGAGAGCTCGCCTGGGGTGGGGGGAGAGGAGAGGCTGAGGCCCCCCCCCCCAAGAGCCCCTTCCTCAGGCGCAGGGTCAGATCCAGATGACCACAGCTGCTGTGTATTTTTTGACTGCACCTCTGTGCACCCACCTTCTTAGCTGGGTCCGCTCTCTCACCCAGCTCGCCCAGCCCAGCCATTTGGGAGACAGAGGCGCATAGAGATTGAGTGACTTAGCTAAGGCTGTCTAGCTAGTCAGTGGCAGAGCTGGGGTTTAAGTCCAGGTCCACCTGGATCTTCTGTGACCCTCATGTCTCCCACCTCCCTCCTCTCAGTCCCTTGTTCACTGACTCTGAGTCTCTCCTGGAGCTGAGGTCCTCCCACAGCCTTGCCACCCAGCACAGAAATAATATTGCAGTTAGCCTCCTTCCTGCAAAGGGAGAGCAGTGTTGATCCCTAAGTCAGGAAAGGCTCATGGAGGTATTTCTGGCCCTGTGACAGGTAAACAAAGAGGCATTTTTGACTAAAGCTGGGCCACTGTCCCCTTTCTCTGTAGACAAGGCAAACCCTTTTTATTATCCACTGGGCTCCCTGTTAGAGAAAGGGGAAAGATGACAATGGAGGGAGAAGGGCACAAAAAGAAAGACACTGAAGAAGAGGCTGAGGGCCTGAGGGAGCCACAAGCCCAAGAGCTGCCTCACCGGTTGCTCAGCTCTGGGCGTCCATGGTGAGTCTCCAGGAAGACCCAGTGGGCTGCCATGTTCTGCAGGGTCACAGCCAGGGTCAAGGTCAGCCAGAAGGGCCTGTGGGATGAGGGGATAGGAAGGTTGTCACTATTAGTGGCCCTCTGGGAAAGGATCCCAGAGCCCTCTGCCTCTTGCCTCACTCACCACGAGGTCTTCAGGGATCGAAGGAGCAGAAGGTTCCTGCCGTGGAGCACAGGCATGAACACCAGGAATGCGAGGGCCAAGGTCCCCAGGAAGAAGAGGACCTGCTGCACCAGGAGCCCTGGCAGCATGGGGAGGAGGGACGGGCAGGCATCAGCCCACCTCTGCCACTCCCAGAACCCAAGGCTTTGGAAATGGGCAGACCTGGTTTCAGATCCCTGCTCTGCTGCTGGTCCACCTTGAGCAAGTTACTTTACCTCTCTGAGCCTTGGCTTCTTCCTCTGTAAAATGGGGATAGCAGCCTCCACCCAGGAGGGCCGTTGTGAGTCTCCAATGAGACATTACTTGTGGCAGATCTTTGAAAATCACAGAGTGCTTTGCAAATGTTATTTTCTCCCAATTGTTTCTGAGTCTTTGAGGACAAGACTGTATTTTAAAGTAATGTTTGCATTTCTATTGGACAGAGCTTGGCACATGGTAGGTACCTGAAAGTTGTCTATTAAAATAATTAGCTAATTGTTTACATGAGATATGTACAAACGGGCTTTGGGGGTATAAAGCTCACCAACATGAGGAATTACGACGTTTAGAGCTAGTGATTCCTATACCGCTTCATCATCTTTCTCCACCTCCCAGGGAGATGAGAACTGAAGGAACCAGCAGGGAGAGAAAGCAGGCCCTTGCTTTTGTACCATTGGCCCCAGCCCCTCACATTTGGGAGGAGTTTATTCACTGCAGCACCAAAGGGGAGTATCAGAAACTCAGAGCTTGGAGGGGCCCTTGAAGTTAATCGAGTCCCATTCCCTCAGGGCAGGGCCTCCTTTGCAGCCCTCTAAATGGCCGTGTAACACTGCTTAAATAACTCCCAGTGACAGGGGTCTCATTACCTCCTAAGACAGCCTATCGTGGTATAGCCCTCCCTTACATAAGCAGGAATGTGCCTCCTTGAACCTCCCACCTTCCAGCCCTGGGTCACCCTGTGTGAAAACTCCTGGTGGCACCCAGGTGCCATCCTCATGTGATGGGTATCCCTTCCCCAAGGGCTCCTGCACCTACCCACCCCCTCCACCCTGCACCTGTGTGGACTTCTGAGGGCAGGGAAGCCCTGCTGAGCACTCTCCCCTCCCCCACTGGGGCCTGCCACGACCAGGACAAGTGGGCTCACCAAGGCAGGTAAATGCTGTCTGGTAGGCAGTGAAGCTCATCCAACAGAACACAGCCTGGCGGGAGGGGTGGGGGCTCTGGGGCAGGGAGCCCAGGTCCAGGGCGCCCCCTCGGTGCAGAGCTTGCAGGTTGGCCCTGGGTGGGAGTGAGGAAGACAGGGATCTCAGGGACACACACGCTCTCTAATTTCCTCTTCTGGGCCAGCCTCTGGCTGAACTCCCAGTCTAGGTAAAACCCACAGCCATGGGCAGGGAAGCCCAGGGCTGTGGGAGCCTTGTGGAGGCTCCTAACCCAGCCTAGAGGTCAGGGAGGGCTTCTCAGAGGAGGTGATATCTGAGTTGAGTCTTAAAGGATGAATAAGAGTAAGCTGGTGGGGGGGCGGGGCAGGGATCAAGGGAGACCAGTTAAGGCAGGAGGCTCAACCTGAGCCAAGTCAGGAAAGGGAGACACCACAGGAGAGATCGAAAGTGACTTGTAGCTCGGCCACCAGGGCAGAAGGTAAGTTTCCAGGCAAGGAAGAGGGCCGTGAATGCCAGCCTAAGTAGAGCCAGCCATGTGAGAAAAGACCCCGGGCAGGAGCCCTGAGTCCTGATGAGTGTACAGGGCATCTGGACCAACTCCCTGCTAAGTTCCAGCCTCCCCTTCCCACCCACCCTACCCCAACCAGAATCTTATCTCCCCCTCTGCTCACATTTCCTCAGTGCTCCCTCCTTACCATTCACCACGAAAGGACAGGGTAGGTGGCTTGGCACTCAATGCCCCATAACTATCTCTTCAGCACCCCAGTGCCAGCTGGGCCACCTCCCCACCCACGCTCACATGCTCCTGCTCACACAGCGCCTCCTGCCCAAGGCACCGTCCCACACCCCCCATCTCTTCTTCCGTTTCCAGGGAGGATGCCAGCTCTCCCAGGTGGCCCTCCTCAGAGGGCAGCTCCACATGCCAGCCCCGCGTCAGTCGCGCCCCATGGCACTCACAGACGTTTCTCCAACTGGAGGGGGATGCTCCACCTTCCCCACCCACCACAGGGCAGCTGGGCAACGGGGCTCAGTGACAAACTGGTCCTGCGGAGACCCTCCCTCCCTCTCTCCAGCCTCCAGGCTTTCCCCACAGGCCTCCTGGGTCAGGGGTCCTGCAGGCCCATAGGATTCCAACCTCTTCCCCACGTCTGCACTGGGGGAGTCAGAGTCTGCCACTAACCTGTGTGTCACCAGCGAGCGGATCAGCATGAGGAAGGTAAGTAAGCAAGACAGGACCAAGGCCGAGATGTAGCAAACTGGAGGGTGGAGAAGGAGCAAAGTGGGAGGTCAGGGCCGGGGGTCTCCCGGGAGCCTCCGAACTGCTGCTGGGGTGCCTGGGTGGGAGCTGTCCCTGCCCTACTCCTCTCTGAGTGGAGGCCTCTTGCCACATCCCCTGTTCTCAGATCCAGTGTTTAAGTCAGCGACCTCAGTTGACCCACACTGCCAGGTGACATCTGGTGGCCAAGACAGAGGCCAGCTCTGAGGCTGCAGACCTGGCCCTCACCCTGGTCTGCTGCTTCCATTGCTGTGTGACCCCCAGTGAGAGACTCCATCCAACCGGGCATCTGCCTTCGGCTCCACGGCCTCCGGGCTGCGTAGCCTTCAGGGGGTCATTTCCCCTCCCAGCCTCAGCTTCCCAGCGCCGGGCGCACTGCTGGGCGGCCCATCTCCTAGCACTCTGTGAGCCATAAAGCTCCATCTGCGCCTGCGCCTGCGGCCTTTGTTTGGGGCACAGAGGATGCGAGTGCTCGTCACTGTGGCCTGAGTCCGTCAGCATGAGGGAGGTGACCACTGCTACCCACCTCCGCAGTGTGGCCCCTCCTCTCCAGCTCCCCACCCACCCGGGCCACATGCACAGATCATGAGTTCCCTGTATTATCAGCAGCTGGAGGGGAACGCGTGGTATGTGGTGAACAAGTCTGTTACTTAAGCAGAGCAGGAAGGCAGGGCTGCAACCCTTCCACCCTAATCCACACCCAGTCTTACTCAGTACCCTCACAGCAACCCCGCAGGAGAGGCACAGGGACACATGGGACCAACAAAGAAGCTGAGACGCAGAGAGAGGGCCTGACTCTCCAGCCACACTGCTAGGAAGTGATGGAGCGAGTTGTGCAATCATTTCCGAGCAGACCTAGAATGAGCCCAGGGTGTCTACATCGTGATCTCGTCAGTCAGCCCAGGGGGTTCCTGGTTCCCACTAGACTCAGGAGGGGGGCAAATACACAAGGCAAAGCCTAGTGCTAGGTCCACTAGGTCAAGGGTGCTGACCTAACAGGGCTGCTGTGAGCAAGATCTGGGCTTGGATGTGGGCTGATGTGGGCTGATGTGCACCATGTCTCCTCCTGCCTGTGGTCCAGATTGCAGCCAACTTGGAAAACCTCTCTGAGAGAGGTTCAGCCCATCCAGAACTTGTCACCTGTCCTGCTGTGGCCTTCAGCCACAGTTCCAGGGCAGCCTTTGAAGCAGACATACTCAGGAAGGTGGTGGGAGTGGTGGTCAGGGAAGGAAGCAGTCACTGCACACACTTCTGCCCACCCCTACTCTCTGCCCTTCTCCACCTGTGTGATGGGGATGATGTTAATGGTAAGGAAGAGCTGCAGAGCAGTTCTGCACCTCCTCCACCTGCAATACTGGCAGTCTAAGCTCCGACCATCACATGTTACTCCTAAAGAGCCAGAGTGCCCATGCCAGCCAGGGACTCCCAATCCATCAGAGGGTTCCCCTTGAGGCCTGACCACCAGGCTTTGTCTCAAGGTGGAGTGCCCCAGCCTGGGCATCAGGACATTGTGTTCTCTTGGCTCCGCTTCTGCCTGGCTGTACCACCTCAGGCGAGTGCTTCCCCATGTGTCAAGTGGGGACACTTCCCAGTGTCCTCTACAGGGCTGTGGAGGTAAGGTAGGGGGTAATGGGGCTAAGGGCTGAAGGAGGCATCAGACTACAGAAAGGAGGCTAGTATGGTTCCCGAGCCCAGGAGCTCATTGTCAGGGGAAGGGAGGAGAAAGGAGGTGGCCTGGAGGACAGAGACTGGGCACGAGAAGGAATCTGCCCTGCCTGACCCCACCCACCTGCCATGAGGTTTAGCTCAGAATCCTGGCCCACAGCCCCACTTCCCTGTCTCCTTTCCCCCTTCCCCACCCGGAGCAAAGGCTCCAGGGCTGTCCCTTCGGTTCACACAGATCGCACCCTTCCCCATCTCCACACCTGCAGAGCTGGGGAAAGACACTGGGGATGGGGGTGGGAGACACCACACAAGCTGACAGGAGGCGGCTGAGATGACTGCCCCAATTTGAAGATGAGGCAGCCAAGACCCAGAGAGGGAAGGGACATGCCCGAGGGCACCCCGCATGTCCATGGCACCTTGGGACAGAGCTTGGGTATCGGGTCCCCGCTGTGAGCCCTCAGGGACTCCCAAGAAGCCTCACCTTCCAGAGCCCACAGGTGGTGCTTCACCAGCTCCACCACCTCCTGCCTGTCCTCTGAGAGCACGATCCCAAAGCCGGCCAGCAGGTAGGAGACGTCCGTGGTGATCCCCGCCCTCACCTTCTGGATGGTGGGTATCACGCCCACCAGCAGCAGCAGGGCCACCTGGAAGAGCCCCAGAATGAGGGCAGCAGGGCCCGGAAGTGCTCATGCCAGGCACTCCCATCCCAGGAAAAGTGTTTTTTGAGCTGGGGGGAGACTTCAGGGGAGGAACTCTGCAGCACATGACCATCGCGGTGGATGGATATGAACCATCCCTTTGCACAGCATCCTCGTGCCTCTAATCGGCACATAACAAACAGATATGACTTGAGCCTCATAGACCCCAGATATGATTTTAAGGAGCACAACTGTATATGTACCCCTCTGACCATCTATCAGTCATCTATCTAAACTGCAGAATATAAAATTTCCAGTTTTTCCATGTGGGAGAAAGCAAAATGTCCTATAGATGAGCATAGGCATTGAAGCTAGACAGATCTGGATTCAAATTTTGGCTACCCTGATATTAGCTGCAGGAACTTAGCCAAGTCAAATTTACCTCTCAGCCTCAGTTTCTCCCATCAGTAAAATGAAAAAAAATCATATCTACCTCCCAGGATTTTGGTTTTTTCTGCTTGTCTCTTTTTTTAGGGGGATAGTGGTGATGGGAATTTATCAAACACATATGATCTCACTAAATCTTCCCAACTACCTCAAAAGGAAGTAATTCTATTTCTTCCATTTTACAGCTGAGCTAATGGGTCCAGGGATGTTAAGTAACTTGCCCAAGGTCACTCAGAAGGTAAAAAAAGGAGCTAGGATTTAAATCCATGTTTATGTGGCGCCGAAACTCATGTTCTGACCCCATATGAGCCCAACAAGAATTAACTTCCCTTCCCTTCTGGGTGGGCCAGCTTTCCCAAGATGGCCAGAAGCAGCTGGACGAGATTGTGGGCAAGGCTTCTGGGGAGCTGAGCCGGGCCTGAGCTGTCTCAAGCTTGGAGGCTGGGGGCAGGAGTCTGGAAGTAAATGGCACTACAGAGGCAGGACATACCTGGTAGATGGCTGACACTGTCAGGGTGACTGAAAGCACCAGCTTCAGGGGGAGTCGGAATCCTGTAGTTCCCAAAAGGAGGGGGATGGTAAACCCCAGCACCACCCAGGCCCGGGAGCCCCATCCCTCCCAAGGCGCCCAGGAAAAGGGCCAGGCTCCCTGGACCCTGGACCACCAAGACCAGGCCAGGGGCTTCCCCTCGTCCCGAGCTGAGGTGGTTCCTCCTGATAACAAGGGTTTTGGGGGCAAGAGCTGGGCTTCTATTGCAGCTGTTCTGTGCAAAAGCAGGATGAGGTCACCTGTCACTCTTACCTTAGCTCCCCATCCCATACCTCGCTGTGGTGTGTAGATGTAGCATCTGAAGTGGATCCAGGTCCGGGACAGGAAGCCGTGCTTGGAGATGTGGGAGCTGCAGAAAGACCCAGGCAGGTGGGAGCCCTCAGGAGAAGCCCCTGCCCCGAGCCTGGGACCCAGAGTTTGCTTCATTTCTCCTCTCTGCCCCACCATGCTGCCCAGTGCCAGCCTCCCAAACAAGCCTGCCTGCCCAGGCCTGTCCCCTGGCCCAAAGCGTATGCCTAGGAGCTCACCTGCTTTTCAGCTTCTTCTGGCAAAGGAGCATCCTCAAATATTCCTCAGAGTAGCTGCTCTGAAGCCCCTGTGGACAAGCAGCTGAGATCTGTCTCGAGCCATCCCTGGGGCCATAGAGCTCAGAGTAACACAGGCACCCAGTACATACAAACCTCTTGGCTGTGGTGGAGTACACAGAAGGGCTCCCCTGTGAGGGACAAGGTGCCCTGTCCTCCTCCATGAATATAGGACTAATCAGTCTCCTATCTAAGAACACTCAATGCTGGGAAGTTCTTCCTAAGGTCTATCTCCAACCCTTTCCTGCTTTACTCAGTCACATTACAGCATTGCTTTCCTCCTGGCCCTCTGGCCTCTGCTAGCTGAGACTGGGGCAAAGGGAGCCTATGTCCCATGAGCACAGCCTAGACCAGGACACAGGATAGAGCCGTTTCGGGTCAGATGCCCCAGGCCTCTCCTCCTACTCCAGGAAGATCACAAGGGTAACCGGATTTGTCTAAGCCACATTCCAGGCCTTAAGCCGCCTGCCAAGTGGCAGAGGCCCATGGTAAGATATGGTGAGCCCCTGGCCCCTGATCATTAGGAAAATACAGGCCGTTGTCACCTGTTGCCATGGCAACCCTGGGATCCAGGGCGGGTGTGGGTCAGCTCAAAGCTTGACTATGTCTTTTGAGGCTTAAACCTCTTTGACCAAGGGCCAAAGAGGATTTTATTTCTCCCAAGACTTCCCAAGAGGAAAGGCATGCAACAGAGGGAGAAGAGCCCTGGAGGAGGAGAGGGAAGGGCCCGGACAAGGCAGAGACGTGCCTGGTGCACCGTGAATCCCGGGGAGCAGCTCCCCTCTTCCGAGCCAGCTGTAAAAATGAGGGGACAACAGGCTTCTTGAGCCTCTGGAGGACAGTAGTGATAAGTACTGAGGACCCTACTGCTACCATGTGGGAGTCAGGTGGGCCTGTGGGGGACCCAGGGGGACCCCTGGAGACACGCAGCACCCCGTCTCTTCTCCCCTCACTCTTCATCCCTCCATGGGGACCTCACTCCTCTGGCTTCAGTTCCAGCCCCTCTCCTGAGCTCCAGGGCCATGGCCCAGCTGCCCGCAGACCCCTCAGCGCCGCACAGCCGCGGCTGAACATCACCCCACCCCCACACTGGCTCTCATCTGGCGTCCTGTGCGTCGGCGACTGGCGCCATCACCCAGCTGCTGTCTGTCCTAGGTGCCAGCCTTCAAGCCTTTCCTTCACTCTCCCCATCTGCACAGTAACTAGCCTTTTGCATCTGTGTCTTCAGCCTTTCTTGAGGGCCTCTGTGGAGCAGTTTCCCTCTTCCTCCTCTCTCACCAGGAAGAATACTTGACCCCACTTCCACCTCTGCTCCCAGGGCAGCTGGATGAGTCCCGGCTGCACCTCTCATACTGCATATGAATGTGTCGCTGCACCCATCTCCCCCAGGTTCCGGGGGGGTCCTGGAGGACTGGCACAGGTCATTCGGCTGAGTGCACAGTCCCGAGCCCAGGGCCGGGCGCAGGGTATGCTTAGAAGGTCTACCTAATCTAAAATAAGATTGCTGTATCTTGTAAGAGTTCTCTTGCCATGATACACTCATCCACCCACCCACATACCCACAACTTCAAAAATATTTGCTGAGTGTCTACTTTGTGCTTAGACCTGCCTAGTGCTGCAAATCATATACGAACGAAGCCTGCAGCCCATCTCTGCCCCTTTACTCATGCTCTTCCCTTTGCCCGCAATGCTTTCTCCTTATTCTCTCCCCACTCTAGAGCTTTCCTGTCCTCAGTCCCTGCTATGTCAACCTCCTCCAGGAAGTCTTCCCAGCCTTCCTTAGTTCTCCCAGCCCTCCCCCTTATCTCATGTTATCCAGCCTATAGGTGATTCATAGTGTAATTCTGTCCTGGGTTCTTCTTGAATTGTGTCAGCATCTTCAGAGCTCCCATTAGGCATAAGGCTCCTCGCCTGTCTCATTTCTCCAACTGGAGCCTCAGTATTTCAGAAACAGCTATGACTTCCCTGCCTTCTGGCCCACTTCTCCTTTGTTCAGTGCCCACTGCTCAAACAGCTTGGTACCTTGGGTATCCTGGGTGCCAGCCGAGGGCCTGGCCTAGCCTTTGCCTGGGGAGAGAGGACAAACCAGCCCCTCAGCGACTCAGCAAATATTTCCTGAGCACCTGCTATGTCCTAGGCCCAAGTGTGACTACATGTAGACCAATAAACAGGGGCAAGGCCAAGGTGCCTCGGGTGCTGCGTATGAGCCCACCCCAGCCCTGCCCCTTTACCTCGGAGTCTGCTGCCGCCCCAGGACTGAAGCTTCTCATCAGCTGCACCGGGTACCAAAGACTCAGGAATCCGAGGCCCAGAAGGAGAGGCAGAGAGGCCAGCAGGGAGTAGTACTTGTAGATCTGGGTGGACAGACAAACGCTCAGACACATCTACATTCTGCCTTCTTCCCCCAAGAGAAGACTGGGATTCTTGTCCCTTCCCAGTTCATGTGGGGCCCTGAGGGTGGGCTAGGATACATGGGAAGGCTTCTGGTTCTATCACCATCCCCACCCTGGGCCACTCGGCACCAGCTCCTACTTCCCTCTCTCAGGCCCTGCGGAGGTGCTTGCCCCTCCCCCAGTTCCCTTAGAGGAATCCAAGGGAGGGTGTTGTATAAGCCCCTCCTTTCCACCCCAGGGGGCTGGGAAGCGGCTGGAGTGGTGGACATCCCCCTTCCATGTTCCCGTGTTCCTGGCACTCTGGACACAAGCCTGATCTTTTCTATGTACGGTCTGCGACCTGGGCATCAGAGAAGTACATGCCCTGCCTTCCGAGGCTAAGGCCCTTCCAGGGTTGGGCCCGTTATATATTTATTCATTTATTTGTTAATTCAGTATGATTTTATTGGGAGCTTAGTATGTGCCAGGTCCTGGATCATGAAAAAGACCAACCAAGTCCCTGCTCTCAAGGAAGCTACCTAATCTTCAACTTTACCCCAAGAGATCAGTGTTACCAACTTCACTGATGGGACTGGGATGGGGAGACGGGGGTGGATCTGAGTCTCAGAAAGGGGACATGGTTTCCTCAAAGCACTTGGCACCACCCGGCATCATTTTGTATGTTTGTTTGTTTGATTGTGTGTCTCCTCCTGGAACGGCAGCTCCTGGGATGCCAGGGACTTCATCCGTCTTGTTCACTATTCCAGTGCCTCAAAATGCCCCTGGTACAGAGTATGTGCTCAAATGTGTTCAGTGAACAAAGGAAGGAAGGGATGAGGCCGATTCAAACTCCTGTTGTCTGGCTCTGTAGCCTACACGCCCACCCTTTGGGCTCTGGGTTGGGCAGCTTCATACCCCCAGCCAGCTCCAGTGAACCAGGTTCTGAGGTTCTGGAATTCTCTTTTTAGCCCTCTGAGACCACCCTCCAATTCTGTGCTTGGTCCTCCAGCTCTCTTCACTCCCACACCAGCCCGGCCAAGGGAAGTCTGGGGTATCAATAATGGGAGATTTCAGACTTCCTCTACCTCCTCCTCTGTCCCTTTCGCTCCCTTCCCCTTCCCAGAACGGAAGCTCCTGAGGTCAAGCCCAGCTGCCAGGTCCACAGCCTCTCCCACAGAGTGGCCGAGCTAGGAACGAGCATGCGTTTAAAGGCATGAAATCCTGCGCACAGAGCAGCAGGGAAGCATGGAGGCGAGATGAAAGGAGCCACGCTGGTTTAAGCAGCTCCTCCACGCCCCTCTGCCCCAGGCTGTCACGAGTCAGTGGTTACCTTGGCCGACTCGGGGCACTCTGCCCTCTGCCAGACCTGGACCCCCAAGTGAGCCCAGGACAGCATGCTGCCGAGCAGGTGTGCAGCTCCATGCCTGACTGTGGCACAGGCAGCCAGGGGATAGTAGAGGGCAGGGTAATAGAGCAGGGCCAGCATCTTCCACGGCCCTGGAAGGCAAGACAGGCGGAGAGACACATGATGGAGAGGCAGACGTGGGACCTGGGTCCAGCCCACCCAGGCTTCTCTCCTGTCTCCATCTTCCAAGCCCCTAGGCTGCTTCAGTGGGCAAGAGCCCTGCATTCAAACCCAGGCTCTGACTAGCATCAGCTCTGTGATCTTGGGCAAGGTACCTCTTGGAGTCTCAGTTTCCCCATCTGTAAAATGGAAGTAATAGTAGTAAATTAGCAAAGACAAACTGAGCAGGTAATATGTACAGTGCTTAGCACAGTGGCTGAGTTAGTACTCAGTCAGTTAAGCTCCTATTTCATTACTGTTCCCTTCTCGGACCCTCAGGATCTTCCACTGTAAAATGGGGCTAATACCCGCACTTTGTGGAGTCACTGTGAGGAGCAGAAGATCTAAGGGGGTCATGTTGCGGGGCAGTGGCTCCTGTGGGGGGAGCATCACCTCCCTGAGCCCAGCTCAATTCTCCAGGACCCCACCCTGCCCCCATCTCCATCCTTCTTCATGCTCACACAGGTCTGGGCTATCTGGGGAACTCAGCCTGTGGCTAGGAACCAGAGTTCCCTCCCTCCTGGGGGTGGGGTTTGCACAAGAACAGAGGAAGCAGAGCAACAAAGGTATCAGGCACTGCGGTGGGACAGTTGGGGTGGGTAATGGGACAGAATCTCCCAGGTGGTGGCTCATGATGGGATGGGGAGCCCCAGCGCTCATTTCCCACCTGCCCCTCCCATCAGTCCAGCCCAGGGCCTCAGCTGTGCTGGGTACCTTGGCCGGGTGGTGAGCCGAGGGTCAGGAAGGGCAGTGGGTCCTCGGCCGGGAGCAGCAAACACAGGGAAGTGAAGAGGACCACGAAGACAGCAGCAGGCACGCTCCGGGGCCTGTCCCCAGCCAGGAAATCCACCGGGCTGGTGCAGAGGCAGGGCAGGACAGGAAGAAGTCCCTCAGGCCCTGCCCGCCCATTACCTCCTGCCATGCTCCATAAACCAGGGAGGTGGAGACCGTCCCACTTTCCACAATGGGAAATGGACACCCCTCTGTGTATTCATTCCACAAATACTGCATTTCTTGCACAGATCTTTGTGGAGTGCCTTTGTGGAGTGTATCAAGGTCTGGACTCTGGCAAAATGACTCAGGCACATCCCCCCAACACACACACACACACACACACACACACACACACACACACACACACACACGGAACAAGCCTGATCACTGCTCCCTCCACCCACTCTGGAAGCTCCGGAAACAGCCGCCTCCACTCTAATCGGTCTGTCTGGGCTGGCAGACCTTCAGAGAACTAGAGAGTCACAACATCCTTATGCAACGCCGCCACCCTGGCCTGGGAGTAGCCCCGGGGCAGAGGGCAGACAGCGGGCACAGCTGTCCCAGGCATCGCCCCTCTGAGCTCGGGCCAGGCCATTCCGACCCTCTGCTTCTGTGCTCCAGCCCGGAGGACTCCATCCTGCTTCATTCTCCCCTCAGTCCCTCCCCTAAGCAGGGTAAGCTCTTTCCTGGGCCAGCCAGGCTAGTCTGCCACAAAACCAGCATGGCAGGCCCCACCTCGGTGTGCATCCCAGGCCTGGGGGCTCTACCTACCACCTCCACCAACCCTTTGGTCTCTCCCACACAAGCCTGCCCCGTCTCGTCTCCTCGGGGTCATTCCCTTCCCAGGCTCTGGGGCTGCAGGGCTGAAGGAGGCAGGGGGAGAAAGTTCTAGTCATAGACTGGAGGTCAGTCCCTCACAAATCTGCCTGTAAGCATCAGGGTCCAGATAACACCCTCGGGGAAAAGAGGGTCAAGAAGGCAGGGGGTGACCATGGCCTGTCCGGGCCATGGGCTGCTGGAGCAGGTGTGTCTGGAGCTGGGCTTGGTCTCCCTGGGGTCTGCAACAGGAGTGGGTGCACCTGAGTGGGTCCCTCCCTTCCCCTCTGGGGGTTCCAACTAAACCTGGAGATCCAGAACCTGCAGACTGAGAGAGTTTGGGGTGTCACTGAAGGCAGCACTGGCTTCTAGGTACCTAACCGCTCACCGCCCTCCCAGGGCGGTGCTTTCAGCCGGGCCCCGAGTCGGGGCGCCCACGCCCAGGTACCAACCTGGGCAGTCCGGGCCGGCCGTGCACACACTGGGGCCAGAGCTGGCGGCGCCGCACCAGCATGGCCAGCAGCAGCAGCACAAGGATCTGAAAGGAGAGCAGAGAGGAGGGCTCGGTATGCCCAGGCCTTCCCTGAGGGGCTGAGTCGGAGCACTCAGCCCCAGGAGCCCCCTCCCCCACCCCATGCACACTCATGTAGCACCTGGGGGACTGGCTAGGAGGTGACAGAAGTCTGAGAGGGCTCAGTCTGCATCCTGGTTTCGGTCCCCGCCCTGGGAGAACTCCCAGGACCCCTCCCCATATTTGGGCTCCCAGTGTCCCTCTTCACCCGCCCCAGCAGGGAACACACATCCCCCTGAACAGGCTGGCAGTAGGTTGCAAGCCAGTCTGGACTCACCGACAGCACAGCCAGGCAGGCGTGGTAGAGGCCTGGAGGCACACTTGGGTGGCAGGTAGGCACCACCCTGCAAAGTGATTGAAAGCTGGGTCAGGCCTTATAGGGAAACCCCAGGTGTACAGCCAGGTCTGGGGTTCCAGGCTGTCCACACTGGGGCTCCACCTACCACCTCCCTCAACCCTCTGATCTCTCCTACATAAACCTGCCCAGTTCCACCTTCTCAGGGCTGCTCTCGGTCTTTTATGACCTTGTGGTGTGCTGGTCCCATGTCAAGCTCTGACTTTACAGGGCTGAAAGAGACGGGGGGCTCCCCAGGGAAGACATGGGAGAAACAGAATGGGCCAACTCAGTCTTCCTATTCATCAAGGCCCACTTCATTCCTCCCTCCTTCAGGAAGCTTCCTTGACTGCTTCAGGTTTCAGATCTCTCCTCGGAACTGTGGCTAAGCATACTACCTGGGTCAAACCATCAAGAAATTAGTCTTACGATATGCCCTTCACTCACTGGTATCTGAGTTTGGTCTGTATCTGTGACTGGAATGGTCTACCTTGGTCTTCCAGGATTTATGTCTCTTCTTTATCTGTTTTCTTCTTATTGAGGTCTTCCATGCACAGTTGGGCAGGTTGTGTACTGTACAAGCATGCCCAGCAAAGGGAATGTGTGTAGTGTGAAATCCAGGCCACACTGCTCATCAAGCCCTGTACATACTGAGTTGCATCCATCTAAGTAGGGACCCCTTTTTCTAATTAACACAAAGGCCCCATATGGCCCAACAGGTCCTGCGTTCACCGCAGCTGAGCACAGAGGTAGACCCAAGGAGGAGATGAAGAAATCAGCGAGGACAATGAATGTCTCTATTTCCCCAGCTGGGTCTTGTGGCAGAGAAAGGTGTCAGGTAGCAGTACTGAGCTCAGGGCTGGACCTGGACCTGGGAGAGCAGATAGGAATATGTTCCTGGGGAGGGGCAGACCTCTGAGTTTATCTAGCCAGAGCCTTGGAGTGCCAGAGGGAGGACACAAGTGTGGGCAAGGTCGGCAAATTCTGGTGGGCAAGGCATCAGAGGAAGCCCTGTGCTGCAGCTGGGCCCTCCTTGCCCGGGAGGCTAGCCCACCCACCTGGGCCCCCTCCTGCTGTGTGGAAAAGAGCGATCCCGAGGGTCAGCTCAGAGCCCTAGGACTCTGTGCTGTGACAGCCCAGCCTCCCTGAGCCTGGAAATCCCAGACAGTGAGGAGCAGGACAGAACCCAGTCACGTGGGCTTGTCCTTGGGGTGGATGGACAGAATAAGTCTGCTTTGTGCAACTTCTTGGCCAGGGCAGAGCCAGCCTCCTCCCAAAGCGGAACTGTGCCCATGTTGGAGTAGGTGCCACATAGATCAGACTCCCGCTGTCTTAGCTCAGGCCTCACACTCTCCACTTTCAACTCTAAGGCATTTTACTCAAGTATGTAGGGAGGAGTTGGGGTGAGGCAGGGTCCCTGATCAGCCCCAAAATCAGAGCCACCACCCTTAGCCCTCTCAGCCTGCATCTCATCATCTGATGAAGTCCTGCTCAATCCTGTCCCCCAGGCCCAGCCAGGTCAGGGGATCAGCAAACTGTCCCTGGAGCAGCCTAACCAGGAGCCAACCTCACCCCCGTGGGCCTTCTGCAGGGCTCTGTCTCGGGGAATCTCTGGTCCTTTCTGTATCACCTGGAGCCTCCCAGCTCCAGCTACCCTGTACTTGGTTTGGCTGAGGCTCACGGACCCTCAAATGTTTGAGGTCTGAGCTAGACATCTGACTGAGCAAATGTTTGGCTGATGCCTCGAGGACGCACGTTTTGTGCTGTGGGACAGGTGGGATGGTACAGACACAAAGAGCTCCATGTCACGGAGGGCGGGAGCTTGATCCTTGAAGGGCCGCAAGCAGATGCTAAAGGACACAGAAACGGGAGAGAAATTTGGGGCAAGGCCTCAGCGCAGGTGGTATTGAGTTTGTCTCTTTAGGCAAATAAGGGGCAAGAGAGCTCATGGAGAGGGACGAGCATGAGGAAGTGGAGCGACAGGCAGGAGACAGTGTGACTGGGGCCAGGCAAGGTTTGCAGCTCGATTGCAGCCCAGGGGGCAGGCTGAGAGCCAGTTATAGCAGGCATGGGAGGCACTAGGGAGCCACTGAGGGTGTTTGAGCAGGGCAGTGTTCTGGATTTTAGGAGATTTCTGTGCCTGGTTTGAATAACAATAACAACAGTAACTAATACTCACTAAGCACTGACTAAATGCCAGGCTCTTCTTGGGCCACGTATTAACTCAGCTATTACCTAAGCGGTGGGCGCTACTCGTATCCTCTTGTGCAGACAAGGAGAACAAGGCTCAGAGAGGCTAGGTATCTTGTCCAGATCACACAAGTGGCGAAGTGGCAGAACCAGGATTTGAACTGAGGCAGTCAGGCTCCAGCGGCCGCGTCTGACCAGGATGTGAGAGGTAAGAAGTGTGTGGAGGAAGATATTAGGTGGAACCATGTGAAACTGTCATTTCTGCACATCAAAACCAGTTGAATATCAGCATTTTCAAATGGTTCAGGATAAGTAGTCTCCAGGCAGTGGAAATCCAGGCAGTATCTCAGAGGTATTTACAAGGGAAAATTTCTACACCTTGACGTGCAGAGCAGGGGAAGGGGTAATTTCTGGGGTGACTGTAGGGTTCTGGGCCTTATTCCAAGACAAAGGGTAAGGACGAGAGGCAAACGGAGCCCAGGGAAGCTGGGCTTGGTCTTGGGCAATTTGGAGGTGGTGACGGGCTCTCAGGGACAGAGGCCGGGCTGCAGTGGAGTCAGGACACTGAGACAGAGAAGAAGCAAGACAACTGTTTCTAGAAGTTTGGCTCTGAGTGGGAGGCTGCAAAGGGCCCCATCTGGAGGGGAGGACGGAGCACATCGGTGTGGGTGGGGGGAAGACTGACTGTCTGGAGTCGGGGGTCTGCGGGCCTGTGGTCCTCGGCAGGCCTGGAGCCCTACTGTCTGACGCTCTCCCAGGCCCACAGCGGAAGGACCTGCGGGTCACCCTGGCGTTGCCCTCACTTGGCGGGAGGGCAGGCCATGAAGGAAGCCTCCCAACTCTGCCTTCCAGGCAGCCCTTTGAAGTGGTGGGGAGGTGACTGACATCCTGGACAGCTGCCGCAGATGTATTTATATCCCCAGGCTCTGGCTGGGCAACTCGGCACTGATGATGGGTGGATGACACATGAGCGCATGGCAAGTTGGGCCCATAACCTGGCAGAGGGGCCTCCGGGGTAGGAGAGAGCCCGCTTGCCCACACATCAATCCTGTGCCTACCGAAGACCCCAGATTCACCCCCTCCCCACCAGGCTCACCCTCACAACCAGGTCCTGGCACCACAAGGGGACCTGAATAAGTATGACCATTGAGTCCATCCCAGCCACTGTCACCAGTGCCCACCAGCCCTGACTGTAGCCGACTGGGGCACACTGAGGCCGGGGGCTGGGGGTGCTACGTCCAGAGCTCCTCAGAGCTTTGGTGCACCATCTCCTGGGGGTGTCTGACTCACACAGGGAGAGATGAGCACAAGTCCGCCCCTTGGGATTCCCCTGGGCTCCCGGCTCCCCACTCCCACCTCCGCCAGGAAGCACAGCTTGGTTTGGCCAAGTAAGTAGATTCAAACAAAGCCCTTCATTCTTCCCAGTAGTAGGATAAGAGAGCTACAGATCCCAGACGCCATCCGCATGAGAGGTGGTACTCCTCATCACCTGGTCCCCGCCATGCGCCAGCTTCATTCCGAGGCCCTGTCTAGATACCCCGGCCACACAGCCAGCTGCAGGTGCCCGGCCAGCCAACGGCTGGCACTGAGGTGGCCAAGGACAGTTTCACATAAGGGCCTTAACCCAGATCAGGGTCTGTGTCCTCCTGGGTCCCCTGGTCCCCTTTCCATTTTGCTGCTTCTCCCACCCACACACACAGCAGGGACCTGGGGAGCCCCAGGCTCTCTAGGCCAGCCAGGGAAGGGAGGGGGCACACTTTTGCTGACAGCAGGGCTGCCTTCCAGGTGGTCAAAATCCCTTGTCCTCCGAACAACAGCTCCTTCCCCCAGGCCTGGGTGGGGCCTCCATCCCTGCTGGGTGACCGAAGCCTGGCCAGGCCGCAGCCCTGGCCCCTGGGGAGGCACGTGAGCATTTTCCCTTCTCCAGTTTCAGTTGTTGATGGAGAACAGATGTGCACACACATCTGGCTCGACAACCCCCCCAGCCTCACCTTTCCAGTTCCCCAAAGCCTCAGACAGAGCAGGGAGGTGGGGGATGGGGTCAGGGCCAGGAACAACAAAGCGAGAACTCAGCTCTGGGGCCCACAGGCGAGGCGTCCTTGGCAGCATGGGGGCACAGGGAGGCCCAGCTCCTCTGCCAGGGTGCCCAGACTAAACAAAGATAGAAGGGATCTGGGCAGAGATGGCCGTGGGCTGAGTCCTCAGGCCACACTGGGCTGGGCTGAAGCTGCCTCCTTCCCCTGGCCTGGCCTGAGCACTCCTGCTGAAGGGAATAGGACCTCCTCATCTTCATGGAGCCTCAGACCAGCCAAAGCCAACAGGAGTGGCATGTTTCCTCAGTGACTCCCCAACCCGGGGCTTTCTTCCTCAGGCCTCCCACTGCTGGGGGCCTGCCCCCGGAGAACCTGATACTTGCTAACCCCCTTCTCCAGATGGTCACCACGGGGACCATTAACCCTTTGAAAGCAGGCCCGACGTCCCCAGCCACTCGCCCAGCTCTCTTTCCCGGCTACAGGCCAGAGTTACCCAGGGAGCCGGCTGGATCTGAGTTTGCAAAGATGGGGCTCAGGAATCTGCATTTTAAACACACTACACAGGTGCTTTTTAGGTGACTAGCCTGGCCCAGATCTCCCACTTCAAGCATCTGAACACCAGGGCAAGGGCTGTGTTCTCATGTAACAGGCGGGGAGACTGAAGCCCAGAGAGGCTATGACTTGCCAAGGGTCCACACAGCAAATGAGCGGCAGAGCCCATCAGAGCAGCCCTTGCTCAGGGTCTCCCCTGTTCCCCTCATCGGTAACCTCCGCCACACCCCATCTGCTGGCCGACAGAGCCAGGGGTTCCAACTCACCCCTCCGGCGGGAGCTCCTGCCCGTCCTGGGGCTCATCAATGTACCAGCTGCCGTAGGCGTCCTCGTCTGTGGCCCCAGGGCTGGTCTGGTTCCCTGTTGTCTGGGTCGACATTCTCCAGCCCTTCTCCTTTGACCCCCAAACAAGAGGAAAAAAGCCACTACAGATGTGAAAAGAGGCTTAGGAGGGAAGAAAAGAAAGAAAACCCAAAGAAACGTTTCTTTTTAATCCTAAAGGTTACTTTCTTTCTTTTGGCTCTCTGGGAAAAGCCCGTCTGGGAGTGAGGGCCTGGGCCGGCTGGCATGGGAGGAGGGGAAGGACTTCTCCTGTCCCCTCCTGTCCCTCCCTGCCCAGTCTCACACAGTCCTGCAAGAAGTAGTTATCCCTTGGGGACAGTCCCCCAACAGGGTCCGTGGGCTCTTGCTAGAGCACCTGTTGGTCTCTCTGACTGTCCACCAGCAAGCTTTGACTCAAAGCACCATTTTCAAAGTTTTGTCCAATCCAAGCTGCCCACAGGGAACCCCCCACTTCCTTCCCCCTCCCCAAACCCATCCAGACGACCCACTGACACACACTCAAGGAAGGACCAGGGAGGAAGGAGCTGCAGAGATGAAAGGGTGGGCGGGCAGCGGGCGGGCTCAGCGCAGTCTGTGGGACCCTCCCAGATGGGCTCCCAGCCCCTCCCGCTCCCAGGGGTCCAGCCCAATCCCCCCCTCTTTGTTCAGGCTCCCTTGAGACCATCCCCCAGCTTCAGCCTGCCCCTCGCTGGTCCCTTTGGACCTCAGTGATGGAATCACATCATGGCCCTCACAAGCCCCCATTCCAGAGGCGAAGGCCCTAGCTCCATGCAGTGGCCTGAGCTGGGGAGGAGTGTGGCCAGGAGGGCCGGCATCCGGCTGCAGCACATACCTGCCTTCAGCGCCTGCCCCAGATCCCCCACATCCTTGCCCGGCACATCCGCACACATCCGGCACAAGCCAGGCATTCCAGCAACCCAGGGAGACTGCCGGGGCTGGGCTGGGCGGGAGGCAGGGCAAGGAGCCTGTCCATTCTTTCTCCTGGAAGAGCATGTGTCTCACTAGTCAAATCTTTTTGTTTCTCCAACTTGATTTCACAGGGAGATAACTCACCCCCACAAGGCGGAAATTAGTCCTTTAAACACGAACCAGACCCAAGGGTAGGCAAGAACCCTGCCTACCGCCCATTCCTCCAGGACTGTGGGGTGGGGGTGGGGGTGAAGGCAAGAAGGCAGGGTCTGGGCAGGAGCTGGGGGTTCCTCTCCGTCACCTTTGGCTGGCTCCGCCCCCTTCCTCACCCCCAGGGGAGGTGGGGAGTCGGGGGTGGCAAGATGCAGACAAGGCAGACAGCAGTTCTCAGGCCCCTATCCCTGAATATCCCTGAATCTTTGAGGATCCCTGTCCTTCTAATATCCCACAGGAGGCCTGGGTCATGGCCCTGTCCAGCTGAGGCATTTATTTGACAAGCTTTTCAAAAAGATACTCATCCATTTACTCTTAACAAATTCACTGAGCACCTACTAAGTGGCGGCACTGTTTGGAGCCCTGGGATGTGAGAGTCTACAGTTGGCAGGGAGGTGAGTGGACACAGACCAGTCGGTGAATCACCCGAGTCTGAGGGTTCTAAGGGAAGGCACAGAGTGCCCTGGTTTGTACCATGGTAAACTGAATTTGGTCCAAAAAGTGGGGGGCTTCCTGAAGAAAGAAAGCTTTTCAGTGGCGGTCTGAGGGCAGGGAAAAGTCAGTTGTGCAGAGGGCAGGGGGTTGAGGCTGGAGGTGTGTGGGGTGGTGAGGTGGAGGGAAGTGTGTTCCTGACAGAGGGAACAGTGTGGGTGAGGCTCAGAGGGGACAGAGCTTGAAAGCCTAAAAGCTCCCCATCCAAATTCGGAACCCCGGGCCCACAAGGCCTCCCAGCATCAGGGCCTGAGGGCTCTATTGGCCTTGGTTCCTCCCCCCACCTTCCAGAAAGGCTCCTCTTCCAGGAAGAGGGCTCCAGCCACCCCTCCCCCACCCGGAGATGTCAGCATCTGCTGACTCAGAGTTGAACCTGAACTTTGATGCAGTGCAGGAGCTCACACTGCCTGTCTGATCCCGGGGATTGGGGATGAATCCTGCCTCCCAGGCCTGGCTGTGTGCTCCCAGGGCAGAGCTCAGCCTCTCCTCCTCCTGCCGCCTTCCCCGGATGCACAGCATGCTGCTCTGGGGCTGCAGGGACTTTGTAAACTAGGCTTGACAAAGCTGTTGCTCGTTCCGGTGACCAGCACTCCTCCATGGGCCAGCCCCAGGCAGGCTGCTGTTTTTTCCAGCCAGGTTTCCAGAGCTCTCTGCTCCAGCACCAGAGCCCCACGGTCCCCTCATTGCTCGGGAGTCTTAGACCCACGCATAGCTTAGGGAGCAACTATCTGATTTTAATGATTCCTCCAACAATTGGAGTCCAGTCTGTGATGGGGAGCTCACTCCCTCTACAAGGTAGATATGTTCATAGCTGGATAACTCCGCCTGTCGGAAACTGCTTCCTTCCCTGGAGGGAGCCTGAATCTGCCCCCCAAGTCTGGTTTGTTCATTCACTCATTCATTCAACAGGTGTTGACTGCATGCCAATTATGTACCGGACAGTTCCACATGCTGAGAGTACAGCAGTGAGCAAGGTAGATAAAGTCCAGTACTTCAGGGACCCTCACGTGTAGTGGGAAGCAGAGGGCAGACAAAGCATGTGTCATGTGTGCTGAGAGGGAAAATAAAGTTGGGCTAAGAGAGGAGAGACAGATGGACAGGAGCTGGCTCTTTTAGGCAGGATGGCCGGGAAAGGCCTGGCTGAGGAAGTGATATTCCAGCAGACACCTGAAGGAAGGACGGGGTACCCAACTGGGCACTGAGGAAAGACATTCTGGCTACCTGGAGGAGACTCCATCAGCCTCAGGGGCTGTAGCCAGGCCGGCAGGGGGCCCCAGGCAAGTCCAGGCACAGCCCCTTCCCCACAGCACCCTTCCCTGACCCATACCTGCTCTGCTCCCAGGGACTTCCGGTGGAGTCTGCCCCTTCCCCCCCGGGATAGCCCAGTGCCCGTGGCATCACCTCCCTCCTCACTGGGGAAATGCAGAGGCCACCTTCAGGGAGGCCCTAAGTAGAGATGAGGAAATGGCGAGTCTCGTCCCTCTCCCCAGGTGTGGGCATAGCGGACAGAGGGCAGCCTTGTGCCCAGTTCCTTAGTCAGGGCCAGGCTGGACATGAGAAGGGGCAAGCCCAGAAGGAAAGAGCAGGGTTCCCATATGGCAGGGGAAATGCCCTGGTTGGGGAGGCAGCCTACCTGGGTTTGATCTTTGGAACTGGCTGTGTGACCTTGAATGAGTCCCTTGGCCTCTCTGGGTCTCAGCCCTGCCTCTTTCCCAGCAGGGGTGGGTTATCCATCCAGGAAATTCTTTGATTCTTGTGGGCTCTGCTCTCCCCAAGGCCCCCACTCCCTGCCCTCAATGACTTCACAGCTTAGGAATGTGGAGCCAGTGCACCAGGCACTGGTTGTAGCAAGAAGGTCAAAGCCACAGAGGATGGCTGTGACTGCCCAGACGTCCCCCATCGTCTCCCACCCACCCTCCTGCCCCGCATCCCACACCCCCATCCACTCTGTTGGGGGCAGGGAGGCAGACTGGGTCCAAGATCCATGGACACTGGGTGGTCACATGGCTCAGACTGGGAAGAGGACCCCAAAGTACCATTCTTGAGCCCAAAGTACCTAGAATAGCTTGAAGCTCACATCTGTGAAATGGGAGATTACCTCTGAGGTATTAGTAAGGATGCCACCTGGCCAGACGGCAAGCTGGCAAGGAAAAGTATTGAGAAGAGAAAGATTGTAATGATGGGACCCTGAAGAATTTCTTTAAAGGCCTGCCAGCGAAGCCCATGGCCTGCCCTCTAGAGTTGGCTTTATAGGAGGACTCAAACCCCAAAGAGTCAGAGACCGGCACTTGCCAACAGGAAAGGAGGGGCTGGCAAGTGGAGGTGCTTGGGAGACAGATTGTGAAAGTTCACAGAAGAGAGAAGAGGGCAGGAGGAATAAGGACATGTTTGAGCAGTCTTGAAGGCTTCCTGGAGGAGGGGACCAGTATCAAGGTCCTGAGATCACACAGGGTCAGTAAAGGTAACAAGAATGATGTGTTTAAGTATCTCAGGACAGCTGAGAGGGGGCCTCTGAGAGGCAAGGAGAGGGCAGGGCAGAGGTCAGGACGGCCCACATGGGCACATTCAGATGAAGCTGATCCCAATACCCAAGGAGCACCCCGGGCCAGCAGGGCTCCCAGCTGAGCGCAGAGCAGGGCTGGCTGAGCCCTGCTACTGTGACAGGGAGTCACAAGAAGCTCCTGGGCTCTGAGTAGACAAAGGCCATCTGCCACCTGGGTCTGGCACAGAGCTGCCCTGCCCTGCCCCTCGGGCTGGAGCTGGCCCATGAGGCCTTGGGACAGGGCTTCCTTCCTCCCCATGTTTTTGTTCAAGTTGATTAAATCTGAGGAATTTTTGAGTCCAGGAACAGAGGCCCATGTGTGTGCCTTCAGTGGCCTGTGGTTCTCAAAATCCTCAAAGGGCAAAGTGCTAAACTTAAAAGGAGCTGACAGTAGGCCGGAAGGAGTGGAGAAGAAACTCACAAACACCCCCCAAGGACTCCCAGACTCCCCAGAGCACCTCCAAATCTTAGCAATATCCCTGGAATTTCAGTAGCACAACAAGATCAAATCAAATCAAGCACAGGTTGGGGCAAAACCACGGTGAGCAGTTGCAAAAGGCTCAGAGACCGCCTCCTCACCGTTTCTCACCACACTTGCATCCCAGCTTTTGGCTCTCGGAGTCCAACTGCACCCCCCAAAAGCTCTACAGCACCCAAACCTCATAAAACGTCAGAGCCTTAGCAACTCCCCCGATCCCCAGCAGCACACAGAGGATGCCCAAGGGGTGTTTCAGTCCAGGAGTGGGGGGATGGCCAATGTGCCTGCTTGTACAGCCCAGCCCCCCATAAGCCTGAGGATAAGCAACCAACATGGGTTCAACCCCATGTGCACCAGCGAGCTCTGGCTCCACCCCTGTCTTCACAGTGCACTCACACAAACACGTATTGAACTGCCCCCCACACACACACACACACAGGTGCCTAACCTTGGCTCCAGACCCTTCAGTCACAGGAAGGCAGTGTTGTTGGCTGCTAAGCTCATGAGAGGAAAGTGTGTATGGCTCTCTACCTTCTTCTTCCCTTGCCATGTGGGAACATCAGAAGCATCACCTGATATCCCCTTCTCAGAATTCTCCTGCCCTCTCACCAACAGTACTGTCATAGCATGATGTATTTAAGCCAGATTGCTCTGGTAGGAGGGTGGATGCTGGTGAGGAGAAGGAGGGTAGCCAGCTGGTCCAGGGAAGCAGTGTTTTCTTCCTGTCCCAGAGTGCTAGGCCAGAACTGACTTAGAGGAGAGAAGGCAGGGAGGCAGATTTCAGCTCAGGACAAAGGTAGCTTTCTTAGTCTTGCTGAGTGGTGAGCCCCCCATCAAAAGAGGCAATCAAGAAGAGGCTGGTAATATCAAGATGCTACAGAGGGTTTCCTGCCCTCAGAGGAGGACTGGCCAAAAGGCCATGAATGTTTCTGCAGCTCTAAGAGCCCTGGATTTTCCCATTCTAGGATGTCCTCCCTAGGATGGTGTCACTATGGTCTTGCCTTGAGATGTAGGTTTTGTGCTGCCCTCCTTCCTCACTGAGGACACCAACTGCTGGGCAGATCCCCTGAGTTCTCTTTCCTTGTTCCCTGCTGACCACAGGGCACGGCTCTCCATCAATCTCTTGCCCACCAGCAAAACCTACTCAGACATGACTCTTTGGATGTCTCCCTACTTTGGGAGCTCACACCAGGTTCCCCCAAGTACAGCCATCTCCAGGTCTCCAACCTCATCCCTCAGAATTGCTCAACCCTCCCATTCCTGTCCCCCTCCTGCCCCACGCTTTTGTTCGTGCTCTGCCCCCCGTCGCTGCACCCTTCCCCTGCACCCCGACCTGCCCCAGTCCTACCTGGCCCGCAGGGCTTGGCTCCAGCCCCACCTCCACCAGGCGTTCTCTTGACCTGTCCCTTCTGTACCTCTTCCTTCTCCTTATTGATCAGCCTGGGGAGTCCTGCCCCTCCAGGCAGACAGGGTGCTCCCCAACAGCTGGGGCCTCCTCCTCTGAGCGCCAGCCCCAGCTCTGGCTGGGGTCCCGGAGAGATGGCTGGCTGCTTGTGCGGTCTCAGCAGTTGGCCCTGAGCAGAGTCCCCAGCACCTGCTTTAAAAGGTGTTTGATCTCCTCCTCCCAGAAAGGCAGCTCCCTCCTTCCCACTAGCCCCTCCTCCCGCTCCCCAGGCCTCCGCCTGTGATTCCAGGATCAGAGCCCACCCCACCCCCATCTCTCCAGCTCAGGCCCACAGCCCGGTTGGGGCCCCACATAACATACAGGGTGGCTTGTCTTTGGCCGAGCCTCTCCAACCCCCAAACCATTTGCCCGAAACTTGATCTCCCTGGCCCTCAGAGTCACCTCAGTGGAGAAGCCTGCACAGGGCTTTGATGGCTGAGTTTCCCCAGCTGTGGCCCAGGATGGGCTCAGGAACCCCCTACCTACATTCATTTGTCACCATCCATCACTCCCAGGGGGCCACTGCCTGATGAATTGCACCAGGCCGGAGGGGAACCACCAGCTAAGCTTTTAATAACCCGATCAGCGTCCTGCTGCTGCCCAGCTGGGCTGAGGGCCCTGACCATGGGAAGGGGGGAATTTGTCACACTTTAGTGGGGCTTCGGGGCTCAAACTTCAGGTACAAGCCATTCCAGGGGGAAGCCAAAGGCCCTCTTGGAGAGCTTTCTGTTCAACTCCTCACAGCCCAGCCTGTCTTCAGAAGAAGGCTGGGGTTCTGGGGCCTGCTGCTCACCCCACGCACACTCCTACAATCCCCATGGCTGCAGGGACAGTTGCTCCATCTCTGTCTCTGAGCTGGGAAGTGGGGTTGACTGGCTCAGGCTCTCCATGCTCTCCCCACCCCCTCCTAGACAGGGTGCCCTGGAGTGGTGTAAACAAGACTACAAAAGGAAAAAAGGGCTCAGAAGGTGCTAAAACCTGGTGCTGTGGTAGTAAGGGAGGGGAGTGAAGGGATAAAGGTGGGGACCAGAAGCGGGCAGTACATTCCTAGGAGAAGGATAGCAGGGGAGATGTCTTCTTTCTCCTCAAAGGAGAAAAGGGGCACAGTCAGCCAGGCAGCATTAGGATGTGAGATTGGTTTCCAGGGACGGTAAAGAGAGAGGTGTTTTCTTTAGCCCCTCCTCCTTCCAACTGGTTGAAATACTCTTGTGATGGCTGGATCTCAGGCAGCCATCTGGGACTATGAGGTGGAGGTTATAGGTTAAGTAGGATGGAGCAGTAAGTTAGCTGCAAAGACAGAGTCTGAGCTAAGACCAGATCTTAGGGCTGGAGGAGACCTCAGAGACCCCTGCTCTACCCACATTCACTATCATATCCAGAAGAAACTGAGGACCAGAGAGGCCACATAACGTGTCAGGGGCAGTGACTGAGCTAGGAGATGTTTTGCCAGAGGCCCCTCACCCCCACCCTACCCACATACACACACAGAGTTCATGATACTTTCCCTAAAAACCCCCTTTCCCAGATCTTTAATGCTGCTCCATTCTGTGGCTGGGAGACACCCTCTGGGGCCCAGTCCTGGGGTTGGGTGAAGCCCCCAGAGCTGGTTAAGTGGCCAGCCTGGGACATACCTCTCAGCACTGATGAGAACACCACAGAACCTCTGCCTGCTGGTGCCCACTCGCAAGTCCATCTGTCAGAATCTCCTATTTGGCTTCTTTTCCTTCTTTCCTCTCTTCCTCTCTTTCTCTTTCTCTCTTTCTTTCTCTCTGTCCTTCTGTCTGCCTGTCTGTCCCAGTCCCTCCATGTCTCTTTCATCCCTACTATTGTCTCTCTCTGTCCCACCCTCTGTCAGACTCAGTCTGCCTGTCTGCTGCCTTTCTGTCTTCCCTTCAAGCTCTGTCTCTGCTTCTTTCTTTCCCTGTTGATCTCTGTCTCTCTACCGTCCTTGTCTTTCTCTTTCTGTTTCCCTCTCCTGCTCTTTGTATTGTTTCTCTTTCTATCTCCCTCCTTCTGAGCCTACCTGTGAAGTCCATCTCTCCTTCTAAAGGAGTACTTTTTCTTGAGTCACGTTGTGTGCTGACTTGTGCTGCCCCTGCCAGCCCCTGACTCCACTCTCCCCGACTCATCAGCTCTGCCTGCCTCTGTCTGCAGGAGGGCTGGCGCTGCCCCCAGAACCCCCAGAGTCTGTAGGACCCCCAGGTAGGTTGGAGGCCCTCTCAGGGGTTCGAGTCCTTTGAGCCAGTGGAGCATCTGGGCAGCTGGGCACAGAGAAGGTAAAGGTCAATGCCGCCAATGCTGCCAGAGGCCAGCACCCTCTCCCTGCTGCAATCCCAGGAACTTTATCCCTTCTGAGCCAAGGCTGGCTGAGGCGGCTGTCAGGGCGAGCCCAGGGATCACGGGAGCAGCCCTCGCTCCTGGTCGACCGAAGGCAAGGGCCAGAGGGCTGCAGGGATGACCCAAGACTCTGGCCCCAGTGCTCCATGATGAAGCCTGGAGCGAAAGGCCAGGAGCGGCAGGGTACGCAGCCTGATGGGGCCAGAGGTGTGGGGGACTGGATCAGCGACCACTCAGAGGGGAGAGTGTCAAGGTAGCCAGGCCTCAGTCCTAACCACCACAATTAACAGATGGAAGAAATTAGGCTTCTAATTTAGCCTTTACCACTTACTAGCTGAGTGACCACAAATGAAGCCCTTTCCAGCTCTGGGCCTCAGCTGCCCCATCTGTGCAATGGAGAGAGGCTGACTGCTACTTCACTTTGCCAGTCTGAGTCTGTGATTCCATCACCCCATGAGCCTCTGGCACTATGGATTTGAAAGCAGTGGGGTTTGGGCCTCAGACGGTTCCGGTTCCACTGTTGGGAAGGGGAGGCTACTGGAGTGGGGCTGGGGGCTGAAGTCCCAATGTGGAGCAGTGACGATCACATGATCTCACTGGCCTGGGAATCAGGAGGCTTGAGGTCCAGGACTGTCCCTTCATTGCCCACGCTGCTCTCTCTGTGCCTGTCTCCTGTCTGTAGAAGGGGGATAGTCTCAGCCCCCAGCCCTGGGGAGAATCAGTGAGCTCACAGACATCCCTGATTGGAGGACTCAGCTCCAAGCGGAGGTGGGGGTTTTTGGGGGGAGTTGGAGGTAGGCCTTTGGGGATGGGGGTCTGAGGGCCCACAGGAGCCATGGGGGGTGTCAGCGGGGGATTCTGAAAGGAGCCATTGTAGGAAGCAGGAAGGGGGCTCTCAGGGTAGACTAATTACAGGCCCAAGCTCTTGCAGACAAAGCCAGCAGCCTCTAAGTGGCCATTCTCCCGGGGAAGAAAGAAGACTTGAGGGCCCCATTAAGGCCTTTCATGCTAGGACTGCCTGAGGCGGCCTGGAAGTCAGCACTGTCCCCTCCCCTCCTCAACCCACACTCTGCACCTTCTTGACTCTTTCTGTGGGAGCCAGGCCTCTGCCTGGGGTTCAAACACTTTGGAAACTGCAGGAAGCTGAATCAGGGAAGAAGCTAGGAGGGAAGAGTATTCTGGGAAGGGAGCTAGGACCTGGTCCTCCTCTGCTCCTCAGTGTCTCCGTCTGTAAAATAGGACTACTATCCTGTCCTGACCTGCTAAAACTCACTGAGGCATCCAGACTTTCTCCACGGAACTGAGGCCAGGTCCAGAGAAACCTGAGCATTAGGAACACAGCCTCTGGCTGTGCCGCCTGCCCCACCACACTGCTGCCCTCACTCCTGGGCACCAGCCTGCCCACTCAGGGACCAAGATACATCTCTGAGCCCAAGTGTGGGTCAAAAGCCCTGAATAGTCTTCAGTTCTCACAGATGAAATCCAGATGCACAAGCAAAAGCTAGGTTGGGTTTGTCCATCGATTCATTCACACTTTCATTCATTCATTCATTCACTCACTCATTCTAGAAGGCTTTAATGGTCCCCCAGGCACCTATCCCTTGCCTAGCCCTGTCCTGGGCATACAGATTCCTGAGGGAACGTTCAGTCAAGTCTGAGCAAGTCATCACTGAGATAGGAGAGGAATGTGCAGAGCATGGCAGAGGAGGGAGTCACCAACCTGGTTCCAGAGGAGGCTTTTAGCCAGACTGGTGGATGAGTAGGGTGACCTCCGGTGAGGCTGGGTAGTTTAGGCAGAGGATACACTGCCAGAAAAGGCAGAGCAGAGAGACAGGGCAGGGCAGCCCTGGCCTGGGGCAAAAGCGAGACTCCTCAAGACATTAGGCTGAGTGAAATAAACCAGTCACCACAGGACAAAGACCAGGTGATTCCACTTACAGGAGGTGCCTAGAGTAGTCACATTCATAGAGACAGAAAGGAGAATGGTGGTTGCCAGAGGCTAGGGCTGGGGCCTGGGGAGATGTTGTGTAGCAGTATAGAGTTTCAGTTTTACTAGATGAGAAGAGTTCTGGAGCTTAGTTGCACAACAACGTAAGTATACTGAATGTCACTGAACTCCCACGCTTAAAGACGGTTAAGATGATTGGTTTTATTGTATGTATATTTTACCACAATGAAAAAAAGAGTAGCTATATACACACACACATGCACACCAAAAAAGTCTCCCCCGGAGACTGAGTGGGGAGGGGAGCCCAGAAAGGGGAAGGGTGGGGTGTCAGATGCAGAGGGCCCTCAAACCACGTTATGGCCAACAGTCACCTCAGATCCTTTCCAGAAGGTTGGAGGAAGGGAGAAACTGGAGGAAAGGAGGGTAGCAGGGAGTGCTGAGGAAGGGGCTCAGGATAAAGGACTGGGAAGAAACGGTGGTGTGCGTGGGCCTGCTTGCAGGGGCCTGGTGCTGGGTGCAGTGCATGGAAGTTTGCCCTAGGGCAGGAGGGACTGACTCACTTTTCCTAACATCTTTGAGGGGCACTTCAAACCCAAAAGGGAAAACAGCCGCTTCTACTGAATCACTGACCCTGCAAGACCTTAGACCTGGCAGAGGCAAACCACAGCCTCCAGACACAGGCTGGCTGGCCAGGCCCAGCTGTGGAGGCAAAGGCTTCTAGGGAGCCACCGCCACCCCCTTTCTTCCCCAAATGACCAGACAGTGGCCTTCCCCAATACGATGCACAGAGTTTTAGACTGCCAGAGCTTATCTGGGAAGACTTACTCACCCAACTCCCACCCATCACACAGATGGGGCCGCTGACATACCCAGAGAGGGGAAGGACTGCCCAAGTTCACCTGCAAGTCACGTGATGAGAACTCTGGTCTTCTAAACCCTCTCGGCCTCAGTTTCTCCTTGGGGGACCTGAAGAAACTGAATTTTAATCATCGCAGAGGAAGCTTACCACATCACTGGGATCCATAGCGAGGCTGGCCAATTCCATCTTCAGACTGGTTATCTTTTCCTTTTTGAAAATGATGCCTTCCAGTCAAGGTGACTTCAAATGAACTCTTCTGAATGAAATCTATGCTGTCTATAAATCTACTCTTAGGCTCAGAATTGTACTTCTATAATTTTAAGGTACCGAGGTCTCCAGTAGGCTGAATTTAAATCTTTGAGCCAATCCCAGGACACATTTAGTAGAGGAAAGTGTAGATATATTTAGAATTTCTAGGTTCAGATCTCAGCTCTGCTTCTTACTAGCGTGTTATCTGAGTTTCTCTCAGTCTCAGAGTCTTCATCTGTAAAATGAGGATTATTATATCTACCTCACAGAGCCATACAGAGTGCCTGGTACCCAGTAGCTGCTCAATGAAGAATATCATAAATGATGATGATGATGGTGGTGATGGTTCTTACTGAAGAGTGTCCAGAATTTCTCCTCTCTCACTGGGTATCAGCAAGACCCCAGGATCAAGAAGGATGGGTTCTAGCATTCTTTCTTTCTTTATTTTTTACACTTTAAATATTTAATTGAAGTACAGTCAGTTACAATGTGTCAATTTCTGGTGCATAGCACAATGTTCTAGTCATGCAGGTACATATATATACTCATTTTCATATTCTTTTTCATTAAAGGTTATTACAAGATATTGAATATAGTTCCCTGTACTATACAGAAGAAACTTGTTTTTTTAAAACCTATTTTTATATATAGTGGTTAATATTTGCAAATCTCAAACTCCCAAATTTATCCCTTCCCACCTCCTTTCCTCAGTAACCATGAGATTGTTTACTAGGTCTGCGAGTCTGTTTCTGTTTTGTAGATTAGTTCAGTGTCTTTTTTTTTCTTTTTTTTCAGATTCCACATATGAGTGATACCATATGGTATTTCACTTTGTCTTTCTGGCTTGCTTCACTTAGAATGACAATCTCTATGTCCATCCATGTTGCTGCAAATGGCATTATTTTACTCTTTTTATGACTGAGCAGTATTCCATTGTATACATATACCACAGCTTCTTTATCCAGACATCTCTCGATGGACATTTAGATCGCTTCCACGTCTTGGCTATCGTACATAGTGCTGCTATGAACATTGGGATACATATGTCTTTTCAAATTAGAGATCCCAGTTTGACAGTTCTTTGGTGTGAGAAGATCTGGGCTCTCTGTAAAGTAAACCTGTGCCCCATAATGTGGGTTTTGATTAAGAAGGTTCCAGAAGCAGGTGCTAAGGGCATGCTCCCAGGGAACAGATTCTGTCCTTCTGTCCTTGAGACCTTCCCCCAACCCAACTCAAGAACTCCTGGGAATAAACAGGCGTGTGGAGACCGGCTTTCCTGGAAATGGGAAGTCCCGACTGCCCCAGGCCTTTGTGCTCTCCACACCAGTACTTCTCAGCCCTGACCCTGCTCTAAGTTTTCCACAGAACTTACCATCTTCTAGCAGACATTAGTTTACTCTTTTTCTATATTTAGCATGTCTATATTTCTCTGTCCCCACCTCCCTCCCCCACTAGAAGATAGGCTTCAGGAAGGCAGGAATCTTTGTTTTGTTCATTGCTATATTCGAGATGCCTAAAATAGTGCCTGGCACACAGTAGACACTCAATAAATATTTGTTGAATGAACAAAAGCTAAAAGGGAGGAATCCATTGCTGCCTTTGTTCCCTGGGACACGCCCAGCCTCCTGGCTTGTTACCTGGGTTCTCCTCAAACAAGCAGAGAAAGGTGGGGTGCGGCCCTCGGCGCCCAGCGTGTAGGCTTTCAGACTGGGCCAGACAGGGACTGTGGGTGGGTGGGGAGAGCAGTGCTCAGCCTTGGGCCAGTCCCTGACGTGGCCAGGACCTTCAGGGGTCCTGAATCCTGGGCCCCTGCGTCCCTGCTGAGCCAGAGGCTGAAGGTCGAGGAGAAGACACTGGATTTGGAGTTCGAAGTCTTGAGTGTGGGATTTAACGAGGAGGGCAGATACGCCCTGCGGCTGTCAGCTGAGAACCACCCCCCACTGCAGGCTGGCTCTGGAGCCGGGGTGCAGCTGCAGGTGGATGATGGGGACCTCCTCCCTGCCTGCTCTGCTGTCACTGATGTCGTTGAGCAGCAGGACCCTGGCCAGAGCCTCACCCTTACCAGGAACAAGTCTGTCTTTACTCTGCCCAAAGGTATAAAGTTAGAGGGGCTGGGGAGAGATAGGGAATCCAGGGAGCCTCTGGGGAACTGGGAGGGGTAGGGGCAAAGCTCTAGACTGAATCCCAAAGCTCTGCCTGTGTGACTCAGCCCATGTTGACCCTCTGTGAGCCCCTGCCTCCTTCAGTGTGACATGGGGATGCTGATGCTTGTCAGTAGGGTGGGGTGAGAAGGAAGTGAAAGGACATGTGAGGAATGGCTTTGTGAATTTCTAAAAGCTGAGAACACAGCAGGTTTGGGGCCAGTCCCACTGGGCATCACATTGATTGGCCTTAAAGGCACTGGACTGTGGGTATGTGAGGTAGAGAGGTTGAGACCTGGGCTCTGCCTTCAGGAAGATTCCAGCAATCAGGCAGAGCAGCAGGAATCCCAAACAGAGAATAGTTAAGTGATCTGGAAGGAGCAGAAGATCCATGCCTAGACTGTGAGACCATCCAGGCAGGCTTCCTGGAGGAGGAGGCATTTGAAGGAGTGGTGAAACTAAGTCCCAGGCCTTCAGGTGGTCAGAGATCGGAGTCGGGTTAAACTCTTCCCTCTGGGTGGTAGGACCCAGGACCATCTCGCAAGCTAAGAGCCCTGGCCTCTCCACACCAGTAAAGGGAGGGGGCCATGGGTAAGTCTAAGAGGAGGGTCATTCACAGGGAAATCTTAGCCAAGCCTGGCTTCAACTCAAAGGCCAGGCAGCCCGTGTTTCCCAAGGGCTCTGCCTGTCCTCCTCACACCCTGGGGAAGGCAGAGAGAGACCCCAGAGACGGTCTCTGAGACCCATATTCCCCACCCAGGGTTCTGCAAGAATGATGGACAGCACGACGCGACTGCGCGTGGAGGCGCTGAGGCTGGGCGGGGCCTCGGGGAGGGCGGCGCAGCGGGCCGGCGAGGCCATCTTCCCCGTCTACCCTCGCCCGGACCGACCCCGCGTGAACTTCTGCGCACGGGAGCGCGGGGAGCGGTACCGCTGCTGCGGCAGCCTGGCTCTGCTCCGGGCCAGCGCAGACCCCACGGCCCGCCAGTGCGGGGGCCTGGCCTACAGGGTGGCCTTCCACGTGCACCGGGCCTCTCAGCCTCCTGCCTCCACCTGCCCTCCCGACACCAGCCGGCCAGAACCAATGTCACCGCGCCCAGAGCCACAGACGCCCAGGCTGCTGGTGGGTGTTCCCGGGACCCCGGCGGGCTCTGGCATCACTGCTTGCCCAGTTAGAAGACTTTGTGTCTCTAATAAGCCTGGCTGTCCCCACAGTCCTTCACTGAGCATAGCAGCAGAACTTCCCAAGGTTGCCTCATTCAGTTCTGGAGAACAAGCAGTCTAAGGGTGGAGACAGGGAGCCCCAGTTTGAAGGGGGCAGCAGAAAATGGAGCAAAGGCCACACAAAGTAAGGACATCACTGGCCGGGGTTTCTCTGCCCAGTGGTTAAGTGTCCTCTGAGACCCTTCAGTCCTCAAACTCACTCTCATACATTTTCCCCAGGTTTCAAGAGAGGCCTGGTGTGACCAGGAAATAGAAGGCTCTGCATGCCCACCCTCAAGTGCATCCAGCTCTCACCACAGCCAGGAGGGACTTAGCCCTGAACCGGGACGCTGGCAGCCTCAGGCCCAGGTGAGAGGGTCTAGTCCTTGTCTGAGCTGTAGGAGTGAGGCGGGAAGCCCCATAAAAAACCGGCAGGGCCCCCAAGCAGGGCCCCTACTCTCATGCAGGCAGCATCTGGTTCCCTGGCCCAGAGCCTCTATCTCACTTTTTGCCTCTGAAACGGCTTACTTACCCCTAAAATTCTATTGGTTCGTTGAGCTCACTTCTGATTGGTTATTTCCTCCACTCCTGATTGGTTATTACTCTCACTTCTGATTGGTCCACTTCCCTCACTCCTGATTGGTTATTTCTCTCACTCCTGATTGGTCTAGTTCTACAAATCTTCTTCCTGGTTGGTCAACATCTTATTTGTATATGATGTTGCAGTGTAAAACTGGCAGCCTATAAAGGCCTGTGTAAACTTACAGGCGGGGTCCAGAGGTTGGAGTGTTAACTTCTGTGGGCCTGCTCATGTAGTAAATCTGCGTTCTCCAACTCTCCCGAGTGCTGCTTGGTCTCTCACCCGGATCCAGGTTGCTGTCACAACTGAGCTGTAACACATTTTTCCGCAACAGGAGGGCTCCCCAAAGTGGTAGTGTTCTGCAGCCAGGCTGTATGTCTGGTGGGCCTCACAACCAGCATAGGTAGAAGCTAGGAGAGCAAGCAGCCCATTTCACAGATGGAGAAACTGAGGGTCATCCCCAAGGATACTTGATCACATTTAATGCCAACGACATTTCCTGGGGACCTTAGTGCACACTAGTGCATAGAATTCAAAGCTAAGTCAAACCCTGGGCTCAAGGTGCCACCTGGCTTGAACAGTGTAGGCATCATACAGTCCAGTAAGGCATGTGTTGGAAGGAAAGCTCTGGTGAGGAAGTATGTGGGTCTGATTTGGGAGCCTAGGAAAGGCTTTTCAGAAGAGATGTCATTTAAGATGAATCTTTCATTCATTCATTAATTTGTTCATCCATCAAACATTTGTAAAGTGTTGGCTGTGTCAGACCCCATGCTAGGTGGGTAAGATTTAAGAATAGCAATTCTGGTCTATGAGGAGCCCAGAATTCCAGGAGGACTCCTGAGAATTCCAGGAGGAAGAGACCAGAATAAGCTGGCTGAGGAGATGGAAAGGGTTTGGCTGGCAGCAAAATGAACGGAGGTTGAAACCAAAAGATTACATCCAGAGGCTCCTGGCTCTCCTGCAGTGCCTCCATCCCACAGAACATTGGTCTAGGCTGAAGTGGAGCCCAGGGTGGTAGGCTGAGTCCAGCTGGGAGAGGGACGAAGGATGGGAGAAAGTGGAAAGAATTAGGGAAACGGGGACAAAAGAACTAGGTGGATATTCAATTCAGGAGACAATGGGGGAAACCACCAGAGGGGTTTATGCAGGATAAAGACACAATTAGACCTGTGGTTTAAACAGAGTGATCTGTCAGAATATGCCAGGGACCCAGAGGCCAACTTCTCTTGCCTAAGTCTCAGTCTGTCACATGGACCACTTTGGCCTCTGTTTATTCATTCATTAGTCATTAACCAACAGATACTTTTGACCACCTACTGTATGCTCAGCTCTGTGCTGGGTGCTGAGGATATAGTGGTGAGCTTGTGAGTAAGATGGATGCTACCTGGGTTCCTCAATGACATTCTGTCCCCTCAGGCTGCAGGCTCCCTGATTTCAGGGCCTGGCTTTTTGTTCTACAGTTTGTTACAGGAATAGATACACAAGAAGCTCAGGGAGAAGGGATCCCTGGCTGTCTAGGTCCCAGCATGCCCTGGCCACCTGAGCCAGGGGGCCACGTGGACAGTTCTCTGCAGGCTGCAGCTCTGAGTGCCTGTGAGGGAGGTGGGACTGCTGCAGGGAAGGGGGACTTGGAGGTGGCAGCAGCTCTAATTTCTGTTATTTAATGCCATCATCTCCCTGCCATTCTCCCTCTTAAAGTGTCAGATGTCTGCTTCTACCAAGACAAGAAAATGGCTTTCAAGGGAGAGGAAAATTGCTTCCCTCCTGGGGCAGGGGGTGGGATGGGGGGGTCAGCCATCACAACCCTGACAACAGGGCCAGGAAGCCAGTGGGGGAACAGACAACGGAGAGGGGTCCTTCAGAGAATAGAGGGGCCGTTTCTTTCAGCTCAGGCAAAGTCATCTAGCAGTTCAGCCTGAGGAAGGGGGGGCTCTTTTCTGATGTCTTTGGAGGCTCAAAGCCACAGTGGGAAGGACCATGACAGGGCTCTCAGCAAGGGGTGGGGCTGCCCGCAGGCTGCCCTCTGGGCCTGTGGCCAGCTCCCTGGGTAGGGAAGCTGATGTGGCCTAGAATCACAGGGACCCCGGAAACCATCCTCCCTTCCCTCCTTGCAGATAGAGAAAATGAAGCCCAGGAGGGAAGGACTTAACCCAGGTTTCTTTGATTCTCAACTAAAGAGGAGAAAGCAATTTTTGGAGGGGGAAGGCGGTGAGGAGAAAATGCGGTGAGCAGGAGAGATGGAGAGGAGAGGAAGAAGTTGCATTTTTAAGTGCAGCCCAACTTCAGCAATATTCAGTTCAAGGTCAGAAATGGATTTCTGGGTTCCAGATGCTAATGGATAGATTGACTCAGGGCCACCTCCTCCTGGAAGCCTTCCCTGCATTGTTTTTGTCCCTTCCAAACCATCCTCAGTCCTGTCTGTGTCAAGCATTTCACCATTGAATCTATTCAGTTTAGAACTTTATTGTAAGCTCACAAGTTGTTCTCCAACTTGTGTGTCTGTTTTTTAAGCCAGAACTGATGATGGTCATGGGCTGAGGGATGGGGGGGTAAGGGTGGAGCAGGGGTCAGAAGGCAGGAGGATTAGGAATGTAGCAATCAGGAATAAGTAGGAAGGGATAAATCAGGAGTTCCAGATCTGCAGATACTAACTACTATATATAAAATAGATGAACAACAAGTTCATACGGTACAGCACAGGGAACTATATTCAATATCTTGTAGTAACTTACAGTGAAAAATAATGTGAAAACGAGTATATCATGTATGACTGAAGCATTACACTGCACACCAGAAATTGACACAACATTGTAAATTGACTGTACTTCAATAAAAAATATATATCTATATAAAACAAAAAAGAGAAAGAGAATGAGTAGGGAGCAGAAGGCAGGGCTCAGTGGAAGCTTTAGTGACTGATTCTGAATCTGAATCACTTTGCTTCTCGGCCTGGCCCACAGTGCTGGTCACAGCATTCCAGAAATCCTGGAGACTCTAGTGGGACAATCAATTCCCCTGAACTGACATCTTCCCTTCCCCCGCCTCCGCATGTGTGTGGTGGTGGGGGGACGTGGGGTGCAGGCAGTGGCTGCAGAGGGAAGTTTACCATGAGTGGGAGGGAACCAGCTCCAGGTTTCCTGCCAGCTGCACAAGGTGCTCTGGCAGCTTCCTTTCCGGGCAGAATTCCACCAGACTCATCCTGTCCCTTGACACTGCAGGTTTGAGACCACGTGGCTGCACCACCCCAGCACCCACAATGCCCTCCTTCCCCAGAGTGAGAGGGAGTTTATCTGAGCAGAACGAGGGTGGCCTGTCCAGTGCCCCGGCAGTAGGTCCCCAGGATGCAGGAAGCAGCAGGGTGCAGGCCAAATCTGGCTGTTCAGGCTATGGGGATGACTCCTAGCTCAACTCTTTTTAAAGGCAAAGGAGGCCTCCTGGAGAACTGCAGGGCAGGGGGAGGCCACAAAAGCCTCGGGCTTGGAGCCGGGCCCTCAGGGGCCACAACCCCTCCTTACACCTCACTCACCTCTCTAAGAGATCCTGAAGGTATAAGGGCAACCTCCCCTGCGGGGCAGAGCTGGAATTTAAGAGGGAATTTAAGAGGGAAACCGTGGGCTGGAAATTCCCAGTGATGACATTTCGGGAAACATCAGCTGAAAAATTCCTTGCTTGTAGCTCTGCCAGCCATCCCGGGGGCTGCTTTGCTGTAGACCCCGGAGCTTCCTTCCACACGGGATTGGGAGCAGTGCGGGAGCAGGAACGGGAGCAGTTGGGGGGGCTGCCTCCTCCACCCCCCACTCCCTCCTTCCCCGGCATTTACCTCTTGCAAACAATCGCAGTTTTGTTTCATGGAAACGATTCTGTTCCTGTGGAGCCTTTTAAATGACGCTTTCAAGGGTGTTTTTTTTCTTTCCATTTAAAATATTTTTTTTTGCCCTGGAGGGAAAAAAAGAAAAAGCTAATAAAGCAATCACCAAACGCTGAGCACCTGGCTCTAAGCCTGTGGTTTCTGATTGTGGCTTTGGCACCAACAGGCTGGGCGGGGGGGTCTTCATTAAGGAGAACTGGAGGGGAACAGTCACTGGCTTGCCCAGAGCCCTGCTGTCCCGAAACTCGGCTCTGCATCCGTCTCCCTTTGTTCCCTCCCCTCCCCTCCCCCAGCCCCTCTCCCTTTTTCCCCCTTACATCCTCTCCTCCCCCACGCCCCTCTCCGATTCTCTCCATCCTCCTTAGGTCCCAGTTCTGGCTGGAGCTCCAGGCCAGCACTCTTCCAGCCCCAGGCAGCTTTCTGCCTTCCAGCCAATGCACTCCAGGTCCTCCCTTTCTCCCCCTTTCTGCCCCACTTTTCAATTCATTCTGCCCTTTTTTGCTTGTTATTGCCCTATTTC